AAAACTTTTTTTATAATTTTCTAGAAATTTTTGCGAATATAATTTTTTCTTTATTTATACTGTTGTTTTCACACTTTTTTGATTTTTCAATGCTCTCAAAAAATACGCCATCTAACTTATAAAAAAAAATCCTATTCAAATTTTCGGAAAATTTTTTGAAAAGTTTTCCCGAAATTTTTTGAAAATTTGGAAAAAATATTTCGATTAAATTTTTTTTTACCCGCGGCGTGATGTGAATTTGTATTTGAAGAAGAATTTAACTTTAACCCGAGGACTCGCTGGCAGCTGGGTAATTTCACAAATTCACTGCAGACTAGAGGCTTCTGGAAGGGTGAAAAGACAACAAGCTTCACGTGTTTCCACGTGTTTCATGAAGCGTGACAAAGTGCTATGTTGTGGTGTGCCCCCCCGTCTGATCGACACTGATGTCTTCCACTGGATCGCCAGTGTGCGTGACGACGGTTCGCATGGGTCAGACATTTTTGCCCCTCCGACATTGACGCTTGTTCTTTTGGGAAATACCACCGGATGGTCCTGTGATCGAATTATTGAACGAGTTCACTCCTTCGGGATCCCCATTAGAGAAGGATTCAGCAATACGGCAGAGCGAGAACAACCATAAGAATAACAATCGGTAACCAAAAAAAAAAATTGAGAACAATAATATTGAAACAGCCCTTCCTCTTCAAACTTGGAGCGAATATTGGTGATAAATATCGCTGAAGCATTTGAATGGTAGAACCCTTTCCACTCATGTTTACGAAATTTCACTCGGTCGACAGAGAATATTGATTCCAAGTTCGGAAATTTCATTCACCACAGAGAAGTACACAGAATAGACAATTCCAAATGTTAACGAGCACAGTCGAAATGAAGTAAAGTTCAACCAAAGTTTCACGGATCTGCATGATAAAGAGGTTTATCAACGAATTGGCTAGGTCAATACCAACTGACTATACATCAGTGCTATGTGGACCATCAAGAAAGATGTGGGGTATTGATCTCGCATTTATTCACGTTTATTCATGACTTATTTGAACTGTCCAGTTCAGAAAGTCAAGAGACATTTGTGAAGTTTGAAAAGCCTCGGTATTGATCCTGCAGACACTTTCCTTCAAACCACTGGTGTTTCAACTTTTCAATCGGATTCACCCACTGATTGGCAGATTTTATCGCATCAAAATCTCATCCGACTTTTTGTCCGGGGTATTCTATATTTTATCAGACTATGGAGGCCAACCACTACCCGTCTCCACAGTTGTTTTCACATCTCCGAGAGTTTGACACGGAAATTTATTCGCGCATAACCGATTTGGCAGATGTTCAACGCCCGTTTGCCATCCCCCAGCACACTTGTCCCTGAAGACTATTCTTTTTACTACTCCACACTATTGTTTCCTTTTTTTCATTTTATCCTCTCATTCTTTCGAATATTCTTTGATTCGAGGGAGAACTTCTCAATGGAATTTGCAAGTTGTTCTCATCGATTCAACCGCCATTTTTGAGGTTTGAATATTTCACGGGGGTGTATATCTTCACCAGAATCATTCTCAAAAAAAAAATTCTCAAATAATCCGAAACAAAAAATTATTGCTCATAATTTCCAGCATTCGGCTTCCTCCATTTAATTCCCATAATTCCTGCATAATTAATAAAAAATATATTTGAATTGAATTTTTTGTGATCCTATAATTTTTTGTGATCGATCACAGATTTTATCCAGTTGCAGGATAATGAGATTATAATTATGAATGGATAATCGGAAAATGTAGATTAACATCGATGAATTAGTAACAGATTCGGTGAAATTTTTCAGTGGTTCGTTTGAAATTAATAATTATCCAAACAAAGGCTGAAAATTAACGTGTACCCCATATACCCTAAATGCATACTGCCCACCCCAATACCTAGTGAATTCAATGAAGGCCTGCAGGCAAAATGAAGTTCGATCCAGCGTGTATACACCAGCAAGTTATTTTCCTACGCGCTTGTTACACTAATTGGAAGATTGTTATTTCAAAATATGAATGAAACTCGTCAATTCGGTATATAACTCACAATGGCAAACGGATTAGCTCTCGCTGCAAATGTTTATATCCAGAAAAAGATTTGAGTTATTATGAATTTAATGAACATTGGTCTATTCAGGAGAGAAAGCTCTGATAAAGCTCTAAAACGATGATAAAGTCCTTTGTAATCACTTTATATCTCCCAACAATTGGTCCTTATTCAGTTTACGGGACACGAAGACTTTGAGGATTTTTAATTAATTTCTGTTTTTTTGGAAATCATTCCATCTTTTGACTGAAATTTAATAAGTAAATATTAAACTGAACTCGAATTAAATATTTGTTTTCTCTCGGAAATTCGATAATTTCGTTGATTCCTTTTTTTTTGTATTCCTTTTATCGAGAGAATTCCTCTTTCAACGCGAGAATATTTAAATAGGGAGAAGGGAAGACGGTATGTATGCCTTTCCCTCGGTGTTTCTGAAATGAAAGAGAAGAAAAAACATAGGTTGGGTTGAGAGTCCTTTGATGGGATATTTTTCGCAACGTTTAGGCTGAAGGGGTTCTTTTCATTGAAACAACTGGGTCGTGGCCTTTTAAAGCTCAAAATACGCTAGGTCGAGTACTATCGACGCATTTTCTCTCAACAATTCGCTCCTCCGAGTGATACGTAAATGTTTTTACTACTGCACAGAGATAAATATTCAATTAAAATTACAGAACGCTTCGAAAAAATGCCGGAATACATTCTTGAAAAATTATATTTGAAATTTCTAGTAACGAAAAAGTGAAATGAAATTTATACCGAATTTTTCATTGATGGATCACGTAATGGAAAAGCTGGGAAATGTAAAAAAAATCAGGCAATTATTTTTCGGAGCTTTCAATCTATTGAAAATTCGATTGCATTTGATATTGAGTTTTCACCAGTCGGAAAATGCGAGGTTCCATTGAAAAATTAATTATTAACCTCACTTGATTGAAAATTTACATTTCGCTCTGGAATAACGATTCCGAATTATAATTCGTAATATTTCTTGAATATTTCTCTCGGTGTGACTATCAAACAACATTGTAATATTTTTTATTTATTTATTGTTGCAGAGTGACAGCGGGCTAGTGGATACCGATTCGGCTCGACTTGGCAGTATGACGGCCATCAATTCCGTGAGTTGAATTATTACACGTGTTGTTTTTCATGTTTTAAGTACTTTGTAGAATACTCCTCCTTGAAAAATGACTCCATACGTTAATTGATTTGTGAGCTGAAGGTGTTTTTATGGAGTTTCCCCCATTTTTTCATCGGTTAAAATTCGAAGCACATTTCTGTTGGCTTCTGCGTTATTCAGAATTCTTAAAGAAGAATTTTATCGTGAATCCCCTCTAGGCGAGGCAAACAGACCCTTGTAGGATCAATGATGCGTAGTTCTCTCGGTGAGTGATCACGGGGCGAAATCTACCCGTCAATAATTCCACATCACTGAATATTTCCTTAAAAAAAAAAATGTATATGGATTTTCAGTCAACTCAGGTCTTGCGTTGGAACGGGAGTTTTATTCAAAGGAACAGGAATTTCTGGTGCGATTTGAGCTGCGGTAGGTCTGGCCTAATTCGCAGTGTATTTCGTTATTTTCTTTGTGATTATCGACCAATGGAACTCCTGAATCCCAAGTATTTTCCAATTTACGTGCGATGATTTGGAGAATTAGCCAATTCAGCGTTTACCTGCCAGTGAATAATGCAATTGTCAAAGAATCGCTACTCCGCGTTGGATTTGTTGTTGGAAAATTTCGCAACGGAGAGAAATACCTAGTAAACAATTACAGAACAACTCAATTGGTTTAAAAATTAAATAAATTCCCTGTAGAAAATTACTCGGAAATTTTTGAAAAGGAAAAAGTCGTCGATTTTCTTTCTTTACTCGAGTATATTTTTATCGCGCAATCATTTTAATTCATATGATTTTTATGCCGAAGGAAATGTCAATTCTATCATTTTTTTTCAATTCTGTAAACTTTATTTACCTTTCTAAAAAATCATTGGCTGTGATAACGGTAATCACCGTAATGGAACATTTTTTTCTCTGACGCGTTGATTTAAACCACTCGCTCTGAAACAACAAAACCATTGCTCTGAAATGAAAAGAAAAAAAAAATAAATGTTTGCACTCGCGTGGAATTTGTATGCACTGGGAATCCACAATGTTTTTTTTGTGCCCCCTCAAATTTTTATTATTTTATTATTTAAATTCGGGTGCGTCACATGGTCTCAACGGTTGGATTGATGGGCCAGTGAAAAATATTGAAATATGTCCTCCCACGTCTGCATTTGATTTTCAAAGTTGTTTTCTTGTTTGCGTGACTTTTTACGGACTTTCTCATGTACTTTTACCAGTATTTTTCTCTCCGTGCACCAGTACTTATTTTATCAATGACAAATCCTTCACACCGAGGCTTTCCCGATGTGTCGGTTAGGTCAGCTCGTATTTAAAGAGTCTCTGATGAATTCGGGAGTTCACTAAATAGCTCTGACTAAAATCAATATACAAGAATTATGAAAACATTTCAGGGCGCCAGTACATGATCAAATAAATCAGTCGGCGGTCAAAATACTTCGGTACATGCGTGCAATCTGCCACATTATTAATGCAGCGAAAAATCTAATGGCTATTGATAAATAATAAAATAAAAATGTAGATTCAGTCGAATGATTGTCTGCACCAATGCGCTCATTACATCACGTCGTATTTCATAATTCCGGGATGTTGCTTACAATTCCACCCCCGATGTCGAGTCTCAAACACCCGAGGGACTATCTCACAGCTCTCCAAGTGAAGGTCCCCGAGGCTTCCATATTTCGAGACAAGTTCCGACTGTTCCATCATCGGCAGTGTGTTCCACACTCATGGTTCAATGTCTTCCTTATATTCCGAGTGAATATTTCGTGAGTGCACGAGTGGCAGAAGCCCAGGGGAATCACTCGTATTTCTCCTTTAGTTTCTCTGAATATATGTTGGATTGGTTTGTAACCTGGAATTTCTGGATGGAATGCTCAAGCACTTTCCAGAAAGACCAAGATGGGAGTAGTATTTCGTCAGCTGTCGAGATTCCGACGTGACACGTTGGAGAATCATTGAGGGATCGATTTGACGGAAAGTTTGAGAGAATGCCATGAGGATTTCACGTCATACGAATAATATCAATTAAAATATAGAAAAATCGAAACATCTATCAAAAATTCCAACAATCAAACCAACAATATGATTTTCGATCTGAAATGTCACAATAATTTCCCCAATAATGACATAACGTCAAGAAAATTGCAGGACAATGCATAAACTTAATTATTATTTATTATTAAACTAAAAATTTTAGATGCCTCCATTCGCCGAGTGATCGACAAATAAAATGTTGAAAGCGATTAAAATTAATATCTGGCTAAATGGTACACAATGATTTGAAAAGCGTCGACAGGGTCTTAGTCATACAACTGATCTATATTTATGAACGTTTGGGAATTGGAGATCGTTACATAGATGAGGAAAACGCAAAGAGATAGAGGATCGTCGACAGTTTGGTGTGCGTCGACGACGGAAAACGAAACTAAAAGCACTGTGGAGGAAACCAAGTTTAAATAAAGCCCGTGTATGTAGGTCAGTCGGTGGGAGCGAACAGCTAAAGTTACGCAAGCATCACATACAGCAACTACCAGACGCTGACAAAAAGGTGGTTCCACTACTTGCATGTTTTTGTCGGTTTTCTTCGTACACTCATTTTACTTTTCCTCCTGTACCTCGAATTTTCATCCAGTTCAACTAATCCTCAAGTTTAACTCTCCCATTTTCCCTCTTCTGCTTCATCAATTCCGGATTTTAGGAATGAAAATTGTGGGAGAGAGGCGTTGTCAACATCATTGGAAAACTTTTCCACCCCTTCATCCCTCCGCCCTCTTCGCCCTCTCCGCCTTCTCCACCCTCTCCACCCTCTCTGCTCTCTCTCTGCCAACGCAAATTCAACGTACCGATTTTTTATTTCGGGGACAACAGCTACGAATATTTCAAGCTCATGCGATATTGTACTCTACGATCCAACCACCAACACTGACTTTTCTCTTCACCGTTTACTCACTTTTCTGATGCTTCTTCTCGCATAACAACAAACATCAGAAGTATTTTTACGAGCTGCCAACGGCTGACTACGCTGATCGTAAATACGGGAAGTTGAGCATGCCATAAAAAGTGCACTAGGTATATATAAAGTAGTAGTAAATAATGTGAGTGAGTTCGATGGGGAAAATGATAACGATTCTCTCGACGTTTTTGCGGCGTTGAAAATCGATGAAAAAATTTGAGGCTCTGCATATTGAGTCATTACGGATTTATCAAATCTGGTACATCTGAAAAAATGACTGAAAATTCTCAAATCGTGTATCACGACGTTAATTATAAAATAAATGAAAATCACTTCTGTAGTGAGCGCGCAGAATTCATTAACGCGAATTTTCATGGAGTTGATCGACTTGGATTAATTAATTGAACTGAAATTTACATTTTCCATCGATTAACTCATGATATTATATATTTTCAATCTGTTGACGTCCCGTGACATAACTCTCACACACGTATACACCACTCAGACTCTGAGCTGTATTGCACAAGATCAACCAACGAGAAACAGAAAGCATGTTTTGTCAACAGAGAGTTATTTTGAGATTCCCCTTCGAATATGACCACTACATCGTGTAAAAAAAGCACGATAAATATTCGTTTTGCGAAAATAAACCATGAAAATTTGCCACACTGACAAAATTTCAAGTTCCCCGTAAATAAACCAAAAATTGTGGATCGACGCCGAAAAAATGCTGCTATCCCAGACAGTCAGGCTATCTTTTCCAATAACTCCCTCAAATTGAAATAGCCGTAATCCATAAAATATTACCCTCAACATTCAATTACTTTCGCATCGAATCGCCTGACACTGAATGCCGCCAATACTTCTCTAATGGAATTGCAAGATGAGGGCAGAAGATACAGAAGTATCGGAAATTCGAGGTATTCCCTGAAGCCCATAATAGCTATGTTCAGCAAATGAATTTCCAAAGTTGAAAGTACCGGAGGATTAATGGCAGTCCTCTTAATATGGTGGAAAATACAAGTGACAAAGTCTTCAACGAGTGGAAAATAAAAAGAGGAGTGAGGGGTGGGTGGAAAAACTTTAACAAGAGCACCCTCAGAGCGATTTTCAACGTTTAGAAGTATTCTCCAAATTTTTTTTCACCTCACCCCAATCCCTTTTGTTCACTCCCTTCGCTCAAGCAATTCTCATTCTTCTCGTCTTTAATGCACCTCGTCTAAGGTAGCTACGAGTTTACCAAAAAGTTCCATCTTTATTGTTAAATTATTCAAGAGATACCGGCACAATACTAAGAGCAACCTGAAAAAATAACTCGATGATAATTATCATTTGACGGAATTTCCATTGAGAGTAACAGGATATCAGAAAAAAAAAATGATGTGAATGTAATTTCCGAGAGTATTCCGGGTGCAACGAGGTTTTGCATGAAGAAAAATGTGTGGATTATCAGTGGAAAGAATTCTTGAAAAGCTCAGAGCCCATCTTTTCTCATTCCACCGCTTACTGTTCAATATCGCGGAAAACTCGGGTGGAAGATGAAGTGGAAGAGGAACCTGAAGACGTTGGAAGGTCAGCTGTACCTATGATTTCCCATGTGTATTCTTTTCTCATTTGCATCGTGTTTTCTCGACTAATGAGGATTTGCATAGTTGCATTTTAAGTTCATTAAGTTGATTAAAATGGCGGCAAGGGGATTCATCAGGAACTTGAGGGTAATGATGATGTGAAGGGATTGATGGTAACGATGCATGGGTTTGAGGTGATTGTTAATTCTATATGTTCATGCATACAGAGAGAAATATTTCATTTAATTCCACATTTTTCTCCCTCTTTTGATCTGTTTTTCTCTTCCACCTGTGAAAACCCCGAGGTAGAGGGGTAGAATCCATGGAGCAAGGAAGTATCCCTTGAAAATAATCTTTTGTTCGAGAACAATATTCTTCCTGAAAGTTTCTATTGGAGTGATTTGAGCAATAAATCATTCTATTGTTCAAGTATCAATAAATATATTGATTTTCATCATTTTTTCCTGTA